TTGATGAATATGGATGCTGTTGTAGGCATGTCAGCTCTTTCATAATTAATAAATAGGCCTTGTTTTGGTGGACTGCGTTGGGGTTAGGATCTAATAATAAATTGGTGGGTGCTTATAGTTGTCCTATTTCACACGTGTATTAATATGCATATGTTAATTGTTCATGTGGATTTTGCATATCCCAACTTTCCCTGAGACACCCTTGGAGAGTGGGGTCATGGCCAGGATCTGCCATTATCATCCTGGAGAAATGAGGGTTAAGTGCCTTGCACATCCACAGATGTTCACCTTGTTGGCTCAGGGATTTGAACTAGTGGCCTTTAGGTTTCTGGCCCAACGCTTTAACCACTGGGCTACATGCAGCCCTGCCAAGCTGTCGATCCTTCTATCGATCTAAGATCATAACATCATCAAAGCAAAACAAAAGCATATTTCTTTCTTCGTTATATACAAATATGAACTTTGCAACAAAAGCTAATCAGTTACTCATTTTAGTCAGTGTTCTAAAATATTTTCTGCGGAGAGAAGGGTATAACAACACACAAAATGTTGCGAGGATTGTACAAGCGGAGCACCCAAGGGTGTGAAAGATTCATGGCGGTGCCAGGGTGAGTGGAAGAGACACTTTGGAAGCAGCTCAAATATTCACATACTGAGATTTCCACATTAGCAGTAGTCATTGAGGCTAAATAAACATGACACTATCATATTTCCTGCGTCATCTCCTTAATCACACACCACAAAGAAGAAACAATAAAAAACTTTAGGACTGAAACCACAATCATAGGGGCAAAGCTGTTGAGCAAAAGTGAGTTGATTTGATTTTCATTGGGAATAACAAATAATTATAAACAAATGTAAAGGCCCCAATTCACACCCCTGAGGGACACCGTTTGCCTAATGCTAGTCTTACATGTGCATTTTCAATAGATTGAGCAGGACTGGTTTCATAAGATGCAGCTCACTGTGTTTCAGTGCTTTAACAGTTAATCAAAACTGGTTCAATACATATGATATTGAAGCATTTTGTCCTTTCCCACACTATGCCCTGTGACGAACGTTAGGGGACATTTTGAGGTCACATCAGAAAGGGGTCGAAAGTATTTAAACACATTGCACAGTGACATTTCTGTGGAATGCTTGCACATCAACTCTTAACTGAGAAACAACTGGATTGTCTTGAACATGCTTCAGGTCTTCTCTCCTGGAGAAGGTATTGGGTGCACCCAATTCAGTGAACAACACACTCTGGATGATTCCAATACACATTTTTATGTGGAAATTAAATGAATGACTTTGCATACATAGGCAGAACACTGACTAAAATGAGTAACTGATTAGCTTTTGTTGCAAAGTTCATATTTGTATGTAACGGATAAAGAAATCTGCATTTTCTTTTGCTTTGATGATGTTATGATCTTGGATCGATAGAAGGATCGACAGCTTGGCAGGGCTGCAGGTAGCCCAGTGGTTAAAGCGTTGGGCCAGAAACCTAAAGGCCACAAGTTCAAATCCCTGAGCCAACCAGGTGAATATCTGTGGATGTGCAAGGCACTTAACCCTCATTTCTCCAGGATGATAATGGCAGATCCTGGCCATGACCCCACTCTCCAAGGGTGTCTCAGGGAAAGTTGGGATATGACCAATGCATATTAATACACGTGTGAAATAGGACAACTATAAGCACCCACCAATTTATTATTAGATCCTAACCCCAACGCAGTCCACCAAAACAAGGCCTATTTATTAATTATGAAAGAGCTGACATGCCTACAACAGCATCCATATTCATCAAGTAAGAGAAAAGCAGGTTGTCAAGAAAAAGAAAATCAGACCAATAATGCATTGTATAATTCTTCACTCTTTTCCATAAAGCGTGTTCAATGCTCACAGCTTGACGTGCTTCATACTTTGTAAACCTGCACCATCGGTCATTAAACCTATAGTTCACATACACTTCTGCATGTATTATAATGGACAGTGACATGTGAGTCAGTTGCCCAAAGCTTCAGCAGAAGTCAGAGGCAGATTTAGCCCTTTGGTTAAAGAGACTGACAGAATAGCAAGAAATGGGACAACACGCATAGGAAGGGAAAGCAAGGAAAAAAATCATCCTGCCTGGGAAGAACTGTATTAATGCCAAGCAAAACACCCTTTGGGTTGGAAACACACACACACACACCAGTGGAGGCTGCTGAGGGGAGGACGGCTCACAATAATGTCTGGAACGGAGCAAATGGAATGGCATCAAACACATGGAAAACGTGTTTGTTGTATTTGATAACACTCCACTAATCCCGCTCCAGCCATTACCACGAGCCCATCCTCCTCAATTAAGGTGCCACCAACCTCCTGTGACCCACACCAACCAACTCTGTCTTCACACAGACACCAACACAAATTCTCAAACAAACATACTGTACACAATACAACACAGGTTCCCAACATACATAATTACAGTATAAAGACAGCCATCAGCACAAGCAAACCCCATACGTAATTTTTGTTGCACTGTGTTTGTATGATCTTGTTGGTTTAATGAACAGACACAGGTTACCATACCACCCACTCTCCTCTCCTCTCCCTTTGGAAGGTGGCAAACCTTGACATTCCCTGAGTTAGCAGTACAGGAGTATCCCTCCTTGCCGTGTGTGTTTGTACTGTGTGTGTGAGGGTGAAATTACAAAGCAGTATGGGGTTAATTGGATGCTGAGCCCCACATATCCTTTCTCTGAGCCCCCCCAGAGCCTTTTTCCATCCCCAATCTCACACCCAAATAAAATACTCACTAGCCCTGCCGAATCTCTTCCCTCTCTCTTGCTTTCCCTTCTCTCACCCTCTCTCCCTCTTCCACTTTCCTATCTTTCTCCCTTGCGCTCTACTCCCGCTCCTTCCCTCTACCCTATTTATCTTCCTCTCTCTCACGTGCAGCCTCTCAGCTGTCGACTTCCCTGCCTAGGCTGCTCCAGCCAACCAACAAACTTGAAATTTAAATCAGGCAATTTTTGGCAGAGATGTTTTCTGCCCCCAGGACATTTGGAGCAGAGTTGGGCAGATTAAAAGCTACCTAACTTGGTCTTATATGGCACTCACTAAGATTTTGGGAAGCGTCCATCTTTTTTCAAATAAATGTAAAATGTATTTACATTTAAAAAGTATGAGAGAGTTATTTTCACAGTGTGTATCAGTCAATAGTGAGAACGAGAAAAATGAGGTTAAATAGTGCTTTGGAATGAATATGAAATATTCATGAATCAAATTTGAATAGTTTAATCTTCAAATGCATAGCTCCCCTGGATTTGGTAACGGCATAGGCTACACTCAACAGTGTTTTGGATAAATCCTAAAAGGGAATTGTAAAGTATTGAAACCTGGGCTATATTTTGAAGGCATTGTGTCAATCAAAACAAGACAGGAAATCATTTTTAGGAGAAAAAGTATGCAAGCACCTCATCTAGCACAACAGAGGAGCTTAAGGAATGTACCAAGCGTTTGTAGTACTCATGCCTGCATAGTCCACTCTGTTTAAATTGGACTTTTACAGCACTGCAATCCATTAGAATTCTTCTTCCTTCAGTGTGCATTTACTCTTGCTTTTATTCTCAAAGGGGAACATTTCCATGATGAATGGTTTGAACATAACTCAAGTTTCCCCACAAGTTAACTTTCTGCTAGATGTGCTTGGGAAATTGGAATATTCCACTATCTATTGCCTCTGACCTTGTGTTCTCTGTACATTTCCCTTTGAACTGGAATTATTTTTCAAGTTTCACCTCTTCCATGTCTCAACCACTGATCTGTGCTATAAGGAAAGTTCCATATCACATAGTTTGAGAAAGAAGAACGATCATTGAAAGGTGACACAGGGTAATTTGAAACTGCCAATATTAAATTAGAAGTGGCAATCTATCATATTTTTTAGTGGGTTATGCTCATTCTAACATACGATCCTCAGAGTACCTGAAATTCACATCACCTAGTCATTCTCAATTTCTGCGTTGTGCGGTAAGGGTCAAAGTTGAACTTTTATGATTGCTGATAGAGCCATAAATCTCAGCACTTTATTGAGGGAGAGCCTAGAATAGTTTTTCACATTCACTGTGCATCAAGAAGTGTTATAGGACTACACCAATTTTCATCATCTAAAAATTTACACAAAAGCCTTCCCTATAAGCAAGGAAACGCTGACGAGTTGACACTTATTTGGCATGAATTCCCAATTACTGCATATGGTCATCTCTACAGTCTCATCTTGTATAGTCAAACACAAATAACTGAAACTTCATTTTGTGGAGGAGGTAGTTATCTCTAAGGTTAGAGAAGCAGACAAGTAGTTGGAATTCCACAATATATCTATTTTCTCTGTGGAGAAATAGAAAGCTTGCAAAGTTGCAAGAGTGCAACTTAAATATTCTACATCATTCAAACGTTTTCTGAGGATTGACAATGCATGGAGATATTCCTATGCAAAAAATTGGAGGCAGACAGAAATGGTATTTTCTGTCTAATGACAATTCAATCTATAAACACGTTAGGCAAGTTCAAAATAATTTAATTGCATTATAAATTTAAATCATAAAAATTAAGTCAGAACTGCTCTATTGTTAAAGTTGTTGAACATTCTTATCTGGCCTGTGCAGGGTGAATTAAAAACAGCAAATACAGGTTATGAATTCAACGTATTTGTATTTCAGGTTGTAGTGTAGACAAACCCAAACAAAAAAGAACATCTACTGTTATGACACGTTGATAGAGTGAGCATAATTATTTTGTTAAAAGTTTAGTAAGTGCAAGTTTTCCTAGTGTTTGGCTGACTTTGGAGTGTGAGATATTAACACCTCAATAACGTGACAAGACAAACAATAACACAATGGCCTTTGGCATGAACAGCAACTGTTACACTGACTATTCCTCTGTGCAAGAAACGTCTAGCCGTTTCCACTGCGACAGGACGAGAACCAGCAGTCACTACCAGGACCAGCATCTGGTCCGGTCTGGTCTCAGCACACTGCCTTGCTGTGTCTCATGTTCTGGGCGCAGGTCCGACCCAGGTTGGCCCCCTCCAGGAGCAGGTCTGACAGGCGGTCCAGGCCCACACAGGTGGTGAGGGGGGTGATGAGGCCATAGAGACCCCCCAGTAAAATACTGATTGGCCAGGCTATGATTAGCAAAATCACCAGCCACACAATGCTCCAGAAACACGACCCACAACTGGTCATCCTAGTCTGGGAGAAAGGGAGGAGAAAGGGAAAGGCATTTAAATGTTTCAGTCAGTTAACAAATCAATCATGAATATAGATAATAGACAACGTGCGTCACACAGATAGAATTTGCTGAGTTGACAGAAATAATAAATATTGTTAGGCAACTTTTTGCCTATTGTATTGATCTCTCATCAAAAAGAATAAACAGTAATGTTTATATTGCCAGAGCTGTCCCCCTCCCCATGTGATTAGAGTGGATTAATATTACTTCAGATCATTAGATTTACAAAATCCTACCATCTATACATCTCCCATACAAATATCAATTGAGGTAAATCATCCAAAGATATTGAATCCATGGTCAGCATTGCCTCCCAGCCATCAGATCAGATGCCCAGTGTATTGAGTGCTATTTATGGTGATTCAATCAGAGGATATAAACTCTCTGGCTGCGTTTACACAGGCAGCCCAATTCTGATCTTTTTTTTCTCACAAATTGGTCTTTTGACCAATCAGACCTTACTACACAGACATACTACACAATCTTGATGTTTCCTCAAAATATCAATTAGTAGAAAAAATATCAGAAATGGGCTGCCTGCATAAATGCAGCCTCTGACACGCCCATCTGTAATTGGAGAGTATCAGATTCAGCGCACCCAGTTGATGATCTGGATGTACTTGTCTGGATTTACTGAAGCATAATAAAATAACCCCACCCCCACCCACCCACTGGGGTTAACAGGGAGTCCACTCCTATACTACAGAAGAGTTAATGGACCTGACACCTTTCTCACTCTCCTAATGCATTTTATAGGAGTGGAGGTGAACAGCAAGAACTAAGCACTCATTTGGGTTCAGTGTATATCAGACTCATTGGTCTGTAACTGCAGATGCAAATTATGCAAATAGTATAAACTTTAACTTTATTAATTAATCTAAAATAAAATCCTCCAAGAGATCAGTAGCTGAAGTACAAACTGTCAGACTGACGAGTGTAAAAGCCAACGATCAGATCTGTTAGCAAGGCAGTTTCAGCTTTATGAGGTGGGTCGTTCCACCAATTCGGTGCCTTTTGAGAAGTGTAACTTTTAAACATTCATAAAGAGCACATGCATGTTCAACTTTATAAAGAAAATAAAAAAATCCCATCTCAAGAGGAAAAATTAAAAAAATGACTCTAGTAAGTGCCAAATAAAGTAACGGGGAATCGACCATAAATCCCCTTGTGACAAGGGGAATGGAAGCTTGTTGTGTGCAACAGGGAGTGGCCATTGAATGCAAGCTTCACCCCAAAATATTAATAGTTGAAACATTTCTAGCCTGGGTAACAGGGTGGACGTGTTACGCTCGACCCGCTCAGTTTTCCACCACAAAAACAATTGTCAAAAACAGTAGAACTAGTTCACCAGCTTTTACACTATGATTGGACTATTAGATGCTCAATTTATTTTAAAAAATTTAAGGAATAGTTTCACCATATTAAAACGAGAGTTCAGTTCACGTAAAAGTGTTGACCTTAAAATGATGGACAGTTGTAAATGAATCACTAAATCACACAAAATAAATAATAATCTTCAAAAATGGCTGACAAAGCAACAAAATAACTAGGGAATACAATGATTGGGAAAACTTGGAGAAATGTTGGGCTTAAAGGAAAAGTCCACCCAAAAACTATCTTTTGGTATTTGTTTCATTAGTCCATTGTTGATATAGTCCCAAAATGTTTTGCTTGTCACCAATCAATTTTTCAAAGATATATAACTTTCGAAATATAGAAATCATCCCTGTATGATGCATTTTGCATGATATGATGCTGCGTTATTAAGTCACAGAGGGTGCACGGAGGGACATGTCAAAATGCAGAATTTTAATACTAGCAAGTCTTTAATCATATAAAAAATCTGACATTGAATTCTCCATGTGGTCAATATTTAAGGGAACTTCAATTAGCATAACAGGTTTTAGAATTCAATATTGATGCACAATTTCTTTACGTGTTCTGTGTAATATCCTGTTGTGGTGGGGCAAACTGTGTGATTAGATCAGCTGCACTGGGTAATCTCGAGGCTATCTCGTGCTTCAGGGAACGCCCCTTACATGAGACAATACTAGCATTCAGAAATACTCTACTACTTTTTCCCAGGATCAATTAAATATTTTGATTTAAAAGATAAACGTATGCAATAAAAAATGCTTTCACACTTTGAAGCAATATAAATAAAATGTACATATGCCTGTGGAAAAAAAACATCCTGAGTATAAAACAGAAAAGAGAGAACACCTTTTGAGCTTGTAATTCACCTTCTTACAAAGACCCTTAAAAGATGTAGAAATAAAGTGCAGTTATAATACTGCCTTTGCACATTATATATAAAAAGGACAACAGTTATAGTTATACTGCATTTAGTTAGCGCTAGTGACACAACAAATGGCAACAGTTAGGAGGTAGTTAAAGCCATGCAAAGTAGTGAGCTATGTAAACCCATATTGGGAAGAGTACCTGTCGAGTGAGTATAAAAGACATGTTCACCTTCAGATGTGGCAAGTTTGAGTTATTTGAGAAAGTGAGAGCCTGTTTCTCCTCTTTGCCTGTGGAATGGATATCCCCCTCAGTCTCAGTTTAGTTTCTGCTTGGAGCTGCCAAAGCCAAGTAAAGTCAATCTGTATGAGTGGCCTCCTCCTCCCAGTTAACGCTAATTTACTGCAACAAGGGAGCCTCTACTAGGGGAAACTGCATGCCAGGGAGGACAGCTGGAAATAAAGATAGTTGGTAATTTGCAGAGTGTTTTCTAGAGGGAGGATATTACACAATGTACTGGTTGCTCAATAAAAAAAAGGGCCCCGTGCACAAAGCCAGGTCCATACAGAAATGGTTTGTCGACATCGGTGTGGAAGAACTTGACTGGCCTGCACAGAGCCCTGACCTCAACCCCATCGAACACCTTTGGGATGAATTGGAACGCCAACTGCGAGCCTAATCGCTTAACATCAGTGCCCGACCTCACTAATGATCGTGGCTGAATAGAAGCAAGTCCCCGCAGCAATGTTCCAACATACTGTATAGTGGAATGCCTTCTCAGAAGAGTGGAGGCTGTTATAGCAGCAAAGGGGGGACCAAATCCATATTAAAGCCCATGATTTTGCAATGAGATATTCGACTTTTGGTCTTGTAGGGTTTGTCACACAAGCAATTAACAAAGGTGTATGGAGATGTATGCTAAATACAAAAGTATCACTAACTCATCGCAGCTCTGCCACAAAAATGGAAGAGGCAATTCCTCAAAAGAGAGAGGAATTAATTGGTTTGTCCGCCTCCAATGAAAAACCATGCATAGCTTAAAATGACTAGTATAAATTGTAAAATGTATCAGTTTCAGGTTTGAAAACTATGCCTCATAAAATTCTAGATAGTTGGGATCAGATTTTTTGGATGTCCCAATACCATGGCATCAGATTTATGAACGTATCAATTAGTTTTTTTCAATTTAAACTATTATATAAAATTCTCGCCACAAAAAGAAATGCTCAATAAATGCTCCAATATCCAGCAACTTCACACAGCCATTGAGTAGTGGGACAACATTCCACAGGCCACAATCAACAGCATGATCAACTCTATGCCAAGGAGATATTGACTGGTTTTCTGATCCACGCCCGTACCTTTAAAAAAAAAAAGGTATGTGTGACCAACAGATGCATATCTGTATTCCCAGTCATGTATTATCCATAGATTAGGGCCTAATGATTGTATTTCAATGATTTCCTTATACGAAATTGTTGCATGTTGCTTTTAAAAAAAAATCATATTTTCCATGTCTAAACTGCCTTTGAAGACACTGTATACCACAACAAAACGGTTTAATCGTGTGACATACATTGCTCTCAATGATATCCATACTGGTTATCTAGCTAAGCTGTGTACAAGTCTGTTAAATCACCACCACGGTACTGTGGCTTGGCCCTGATGAGCTGTGGATGCGACCTCTCCTTTCAGACAGTGGGGGTGTAGCGTGGGGGGAGGGTAATGGCGTAGCCTGGCGTCTGTAACAGCTAGTTAACCTCTGGTGCATGATAATGCCTAAATTCCCAGTGTGTGTTGTTAGCCTGCAGGCTGTGGCCTCTCCACGCTACCAGGACCAATGAGGCTACACATGGGAGTCAGGTCAGGGTAGGCTCCAATCCACCACCACAATCTCAGGAATTGTGTCACTGCGTACCTTTGATTCCAAACACTGATAAGGACACTTTGTTATAGAGTGGGGTTGTGTAGTATGTCTGTGAAGTACCGGCTCCCCTCACACCATGGCTTCATGTGCAGGGTGACTGACCTATAAATGCAGCTTAGCGGCAGCTCGTCCAACTGTTATTGGGTGAGCCAATCAGATTGACATATCCCAGTGACGCTGTCTGGGGGAGGGGCAGTACAGGACTGTGTAGACTTTAAGAGTATCATGACAGGGAGATTTTAGGATGGTTGGGTGTGTGTGTGTGTGTGTGTCTGCACATGTATGTATAAGATAAAAAACTCAGACTGCATCACATTGAGAATTATTTTACCAAAAAAGTATTGATTACAAAACAGACCATCTCGGAAAATCGAATTAAACATTATCCTCAAAGCATCCAGTGTCATCTTCATGGCTTCAGTAGAAAATTAATTCCACAATAGGATCATCATTTTAGCTCTAAGCTCTTTTCTAAGGAAAGTCTAGTTGGTGCCAGAATAAAGCAATGCAGGGGCCCACATTGGCCCCTAGGGGGCACTTTAAGGGGCATCCTCCGCTCCGCTATCCTCTCCATCACTGTCACTATCTCGGCCAGGGTGCTCGGGCATTTTGGGGTGCTCCTCAGGCACCTTCTCCTCTTGGTCCCCTTTCTCTGGTGTCTCCTGTGGGGTTTTCTCTGGGCTGGCCTCCCCTGCTGGCTCCTGCTCCATGGGGGTCTCCTCCTGGTTATCCACATTAACTGGGGGCTCGGCTTGGTCCTCCTCTGCCTGGGCTGCTGCCTCTGCCTGGTTCTGCCGAGGGGGAGGCAGGAGCTTCTGCTGTTGCTGGACATGGAAGGGAACACAGGGAAAGGGAGGAGAGTAAGGAGAGGGTGTAAGCGGGGTGCCACGGTATCATTCCTACATTGATTTACATTTTCATCCATATCTTGAACTCATGAGAAAATGTCTGGTAGACATGAGACCCTACCAGATTTTACACACTGTACCAGAAAACACCATTCATATCACTGCTTATCTTGTGTCTCATCCTTTTCCCTCTCTCTCCCTGTCCTCCTGTCTCTTTCATTTCTTCCTAGCCCTCTTGGTTTGAGGACAGAATCTGTGCACATGCCTTAGGGGACAGGTTAGGGAGGGGCACCCTTCTCCCTGTTATGTTGTGGAAACAAAAAGTCCCTCTCCTCTCCTCTGCACCCCTGCCATTTCAGGCGGGTCAAGAGGGGTGGGGAGAAATGTAGCTGCACCCGTTATGCCCCCATCCCCCCTCCTCCATCCTCTACTCCCCACGGCGTAAAACAGAGGAACGCTCTCCTCTTAACTCATTCTGGTTCCCTCATCTAAAATGTTAGGCTTGTGGCCTGTTAATGCTCGGCATGCAGAACTAAAACAATTATTTTACATCTGACCTATTTCAAGCACTGCATTAAAAGGGATATTTCAGGATTTTGGCAAACTGTGTGCAGTTTGAAGGAACTTGCTAACTAGCATTAGCACAACTGCTAAGTAGCGTTAGCACAATGACTGGAAGGCTATGGTAACTGCTAGCATGCTAGTAGATACCATAGACTTCCAGTCAGTGTGCTAACGCTACTTAGCATTGGCTTGCGAAACTACCTCAAACTTCCTTCATTCTGGACAAAGACATAAAAATGGTATCCACAAATTCATCTGACTGATTGCCAAAATCCCGAAATATCCCTTTAAGAGCAGGATAACTGTTCTAAGTGTAAGATGTTGTTTTGGAGCAGGTGTGTTTGTGAGTACCAGTATTAACCCATCTCAGGTGTGGATAAATACACTTATGGGTGACATTGGAGCAGCTAGCTGCGGTCTGTGCTAGGGGAGCTAGCGGTCTGTGCTAGGGGAGCTAGCGGTCTGTGCTAGGGGAGCTAGCGGTCTGTGCTAGGGCAGCTAGCGGTCTGTGCTAGGGCAGCTAGTGGTCTGTGCTAGGGGAGCTAGCCTTTCAAATTGATCGTGTAGTGTGTAGTATGGTAGTTACCTGTCTGTACTGCCGGGTGTAGCAAGGTCAGTAGTTACCTGTCTGTACTATCGGGTGTAGCAAGGTCAGTAGTTACCTGTCTGTACTGCCGGGTGTAGCAAGGTCAGTAGTTACCTGTCTGTACTATCGGGTGTAGCAAGGTCAGTAGTTACCCGTCTGTACTGCCGGGTGTAGCGGGGTCAGTAGTTACCTGTCTGTACTGCTGGGTGCTCTGGATCATGTGCAATGTACATGTTGTAGCAAGGGGCCATCTCCGGCATGTTCTTGATCACCTGGTCAGGCTGGGACGAGTGAGGCTCTCTCTGAGGGAAGACAAGAAAGGTAGGGAAAGGAAGGGAGAGAGAGAGGTAGGGATAGGAAGGAAGTGGAGGTAGATAGAGGGAGAGGAGAGAGGTGATGAGGAAGGGAGAGAGAGGTGCTAGGAGGGAGGAGAGAGAGTAGGGATATGGCGAGGAGGAGGTAAGGGAGGGAGAGCGAGAGCGGGATAGTGAGGAGAGTCGGGATAGTAAGGGAGAGCGAGTTGGTAGGGTGAGGGGCGAGACGAATAGAGGTAGGATAGAGGAGAGAGTAGGATGGAGAGAGTAGATAGGTAAGGGTAGATAGGAGTATGGATGGAGAGAGAGAGTAGGGTAGGAGGGCGAGAGAGGAGAGGTAGGCGATATAGGGGGACGCGAGAGCTAGGTCTCTTGCAGGGTAGAGAGTGAGAGAGGTATGGTCGGTTAATAGGAGCTCAGAGAGGTAGTTTAGGTGGGGATGAGCGACGGGGTCGTGGTTGCGAGGTCGGTTCGCCGAGCTTCTCTTCTTTCTGAGAGGTAGGGATAAGAAGGGAAAGAGAGATTGTTTACAGGTTTTTCCTTTCTCCCTTCAGTCCTATTCAAAGTAATTAGTTTAGACCGTTCCTACTCACTATCAATGTGAGTGACAGAGAGATGTCGACAGACAAAGGGAGAGAGGGATACACAAATCGGGAGACAGCATGGGGAGGAGGGCGAGTTGAATATTCACTCAGCTGCATTAATGCCTCCTAAACAGAAGTAATACGCTGGAATTGCAGTGGTCCACTGGGCTGTGTGTGTGTGTGTGTATGTGTGTATGTGTATATGTGTGTGTGGAGGGAGCAGGAAGCTGCCGTGTTTTAAAACAAGACTGTGCAGTGGTTCCATTGCAGTAAAAACATTTAAGGGGAAGCAGTTAAGTGCAACTCACCCGCAGCATTAGAATTACAATACATTAGCAAATTCACGTTTCACCATCTCATGTCATCAAGGACAACTAAGCATAGACAAACTGAATATTACATGATTTCTCTATGTGCTTTACAACAGGTCCTAGATGATATGGTCTATAATGAGTACGGCTTACAGTGATGGTAATGACTGATCCCAAATTAGTGGTTCTGAGGAGAAAGTGAAGCATCTGGGTCTGGACTCTCTGATCGGTCAGAGCTTAACGGGATGGGGGCACATGTGAGCGCCCCAAAAGAGCTGTCTCCCCGGGAACTGGAGCTCTTGTGACAATGTGTATGTGTGTGTGTGTGTGTGTGTGTGTGTGTGTGTGTGTGTGTGTACGTGCATACCTGTGCCACGAGGAGGGGCTAGAGGGGCTTACAGTAGACCCTCCCAGAAAGAAAGAAGCAAGCGAACCCCCATCCCCCCCGATAGTGTGTATGAAAGTGTGTGTGTGTGTGTGTGTGTGTAAAAAAACATATACAAGCTGGCATGCTTGTGTGTGTGTATTAGTCTCTGTGTGTGTGCATATGTGTGTGCGAGTGTGATTGTTAGTGTGTGTGTATGCATGCAACAGTGTGTGTGGGTGTGTGTGTGTACTAACGGGCTGTCCCTGTGTGTAGTACTCGTTGGGTCTGATGTGGAGCTTCATGGGTCTGGCAGTGAGCTGGTTGAAGGCAGGGGTCAGCTCAAAGCAGTTCTGGAACAGACTGACCCGAGCAAAGATGTACAGGCCCAGCCTGGACCTGGACATGGCTACCACTAACCGCCTCACATCCCTGTGGAGAGAGAGGGGGAGGGTGGAGAGAGAGAGGGAGAGAGAGAAATATTACATTTCAAACCACTTCATTGAGTCAAATAAAGAGCACCAGCATTGGCAGTTGGCACATATTGCCTCTAAATCGCAAGTTCATACACTATCTACACACCTCTCACTCCAAAGCAAGAGCCGAGAGTGGGAGAGAAAAAGAGGGATGATTGGGAAATAATTTGGAAAGGAGAGAAAGGGACAGATGAGAGAACAAAAGAAAAGAGGCTAAAGAGACCGCAGCAAAGGTGAGGAAGAAATACAAACAGACAGAAAGAAAGAGGGCGGGAGACACAGTGCCTTTAGAAAGTATTCACACCCCTCGACCTCTTCCACATTTTGTGTTACAGCCTGAATTTAAAATGGATTCAATTGAGATTTGTCGTCACTGGCCTACACACAATACCCCACTTTGGATGGTGTAGAAAGTGTGTGTGTAAAAAAACATATACAAGCTGGCATGCTTGTGTGTATTAGTCTCTGTGTGTGTGCATGTGTGAGTGTGATTGTTAGTTAGTGTGTGTGTATGCATGCAACAGTGTGTGGATGGTGTATTGATTTGTATTAATACACCCAGTCATTACAAAGACAATGGCGTTGTTTCATTATTAATACTATATGAGCAAAAAATATTCCACTTTATTTGGAATGGCAAGCCAGACAAAATTAAACAGGCCTATTTATATAATTAATATGAATTCGGAAGGCTAAAATGATTAAATATTAAAGCATTGAACCTCTCACTAAAGGCTTCAGTCAAACAAAAGTTACACTTAAATCCGAACTAGTTCTCCAGCAGACTAGTCAGAATGGCACACCCTATGTTCAAAAAAGGAATTTTTCCATTTATTACAACTTCTCACTTTCGGTTATTACCGCAACAATGGATGAGGCAAGTAACTTGCTCGTCGGCCATGCATAAAATACCAACATTTGGGAAGAGATTTTTGATGTGCCGATTCCATGGCACCGGGTTTATGAACTGATACACAAAACAACGCTGGATTCAAAACGTAAGAGTTTTTCAATTTAAATTATTTTAAAAATTATTGCAATCAATAGCATGTTATGTGTATGGGGGATACAACAATCCCAGCTCGGCAGATTTTGCTGTGAAGAGACAGAATCATTAGATCATTTGTTTTGGTACTGCCCATATGTAGCTTGTTTTTGGTCGCAGGTTCAGGAATGGCTGAAAAAACCCACATAATTTACTTAAAGTTATCTTTGCAAATAGCACTGCTGGGTGACTTGAAAAGCCACGGTCAGTCGATCAATAATATAATTGTACTTTTAGTAAAGGTATTAATCTTTCATTTAGAATCTGTGGAAACTATGAGAATAGAAAGGCTCAGAACTTTTGTGAAACATCACAGCACAGTTGAAAACCTGGATAGTTTTTAAAGATAGCTGGAAGGGGTTGAGGGTAGCTGGGTGGGCTAAAAAAAGTAAAGAGATAGCTAATGTAAAATGTACCGTGTCTGTGTACTGTGTCCTTCGGAAAGTATTCAGACCCGTTGACCTTTTCCACATTTTGTTACGTTACAGCCTTATTCTAAAATGGATGAATTAACAAATAGATTTAGCAATCTACACACAATACCCCATAATGATGAAGCAAAAACAGTTTAGAAATTGTTGCTAATTTATAAAAAATAAAAGAGAAATACCTTATTTACATAAGTATTCAGACCCTTTGCTATGAGACTCGAAATTGAGCTCATCCTGTTTCCATTGATCATCCTTGAGATGTTTCTACAACTTGATTGGAGTCCACCTGTGGTAAATTCAA